GTTTAATTGATTTAAATCTAATTAATTTATTCTGAATCAAATTTTTATCAAACTTCTCATTAGGCTCTAAAAATTATACTGAGTACAAACAATTAATCAATTTTTGTTTCTGACACCTCTAAGGCTTTCAATTTTCTGTTCAAAGTTGAAACCACAATAGGATTTCCTACAAACAACAGATATAGATCGAAAACTATATGAATTACATAATTAAAAATACAAATTCGCATCAAACACATAACCACATGTCTAATTAAGGAATTATAGTATAATACAAAATAGGGTTATTACAGTCTTTCCCCTTTAGGAAGTTTGGTCCTACAAACTTGTGTTACCTGAAGTTGAAAACAACTCTGGACCTTTGCCTCAATTTCGTTCCCATAACATTTTAAAGACTTTTCCAAAACCTTGTCACAAATCCAACAATTCCCTTTGTCATGTGAGGTCACCACTATGTTTGTTTCAGATCTCAATATGTTTTGGTGTTTCCTAGATACATAGTAAACTCAGCCCAACGAGCCTTTTCCAATAGCTCTTTTTATTCGATAAGCAAACATGTCACGCTCCCAGTTGATTTCTACTAAGAGTATCGGTTACAGTATTGGCCTCTCTTTTTTTTATTTTTTTTACATCAACCTAGTCACGGAAATTCGATCCATTTCGCTTTGTCATAGAAGTTCAATACATTCCCTAACCATTTCATAGTTTATAACTTAATTCAATATTCAATTCAATGATTCATCACAGTCATCCAAGGTTATTCAGAAGGCACCTGAAATATAAAATGGATCCAGATACCAATTCCCAAGTCAGCAAGGGTAACTACGAAACAATCAATCACATGATGTACATAATTCATATCCCCATAGTATCAATTATAAGGTATGCTAATACTGAGTTAGTTACTTACAAAACATACTAAATTCATATACTTCTAGATAGTCAAGGTTTTCCCAAGTAGTGTTCAAAATAAAAAAGATTCACGATTAACAATTCATATATCATCAAGTTAAAACACAGTAACACAGAAGTAGTCATTTGGTAAACCAATCAATTATCAGCCCTGCATATTCTAATTCATCTACACCATGTATATTCTCCATAGTTAAGGGTTGGTTTGTAATTGTGTTCATGTCTGTTGTTGGCAATCTATATGTGGTTCTTATCATAACATAACCTAGTCATTTGTTCGTAAACAATTCGTAATTCTCCTGTAACAAAATTAAACTAGATGGAGGTTCTCATCAAATCAAATCAGATAAAGGTTTTATCCCATCCTTAATTAACTTTACCTAGATTAGATTAATTATTGATTAGGCTTAATCAAGCAAAACTTAAGTTAATCAATCTAAAATTTAGTTTAATTGATTTAAATCTAATTAATTTATTCTGAATCAAATTTTTATCAAACTTCTCATTAGGCACTAAAAATTATACTGAGTATAAATAATTTATCAGTTTTGGTTTCAGATACCTCTAAAGCTTTCAATTTTTAGTTCAAAGTTGTAATCACAACAGGTTTTCCTACGAACAATAGATATAGATCCAAAACTATATGAATTACATAATTAAACATACAAATTCAAATCAAACACATAACCACGTGTCAAATTATGGAATTATAGTATAATACGAGATAGGGTTATTACATTTCCCTCCTTGTTATTTGTTTTTGAAAGCAAAATAAGAGATTTTGGGTTAAAGAGTGTTGCAACCTCCATTCTCAATCATTTGTGAACATAGAAAAAGGTGGGGACATCCTTGTTCTATAAATAGGAGAGGAGTTTTCAATGGCTTTGATAGCTTCCATTAAGAAATGATCTACCTTAATCTATACTCTCCAATTTGGGTATTGACTTACCCTTATTCACAAAGAGATGATGTAGGTTCCTATTTATTTCATAGGCTTGAGTTTGTTCTTGATTCGATCCATTTCATTGCGTTTATTTATAGCAAAATATCCATTATATATATCTATTCATGTCATTGTAAAGGGTTGTAGCCCATCTACCTCCCCCTTAAGTGGTTTCTGTAGAAGGAAAAGGTAGAAGGAATAAACATATCTTATAAAGTGTCCTTAGTTTATGTTTTGCAAAGTCTGCACTAACCCAGATTCTGCCCGGAAGAAGAGTTCGGCGGTCCATTTTCTATTTGACAAGGCACTGTTATGCATGGTCAGCTAACTTCTTGAAAAACAAAGAAGACAACTTCTGAGAGTGGTATCCTGGGTAATTCTAGAGTGGCTGGCTAAGTTATTCTATTTATTTAACATGATTTGTTAGATTCAACATTAATTTGGTTGGATCCATTCATTGTTGTAATAATTTTTTGAATCCCTCTTTCTTTCCTTTGATCATTTATTAGAGTGTTGTAATAATCTCTCTCTCTCTCTCTCTCTCTCTCTCTCTCTCTCTCTCTCTCTCCCTCCCTCCCCTTTTTTTTTCATTTAAATTGGGGTAATAACTTCCAACCCCATGTCTTTGTATCCCTTGTATTTACATGCTTTCCGTGTAGGTTGAACATCATCACATTTTATTTATCATACCCATGTTGTGCATCTATTTTTTATGCATATGGATTCGATTCATTTGCATTTGTTGATTTTATCAAATTCAAAAGGTGTTTCTATGTGATATCTTATGTCTTGAAATGATACACATGCCATGTGGCAGTAACTGAATCCTTAGTTGCATATTGTGGGTGTCTCACATTAGTTAGTTTTATATAGGATCATGCATGTGTATATAGCATATTCTTTTGGCTTACCATGGTGGAATACTAGGTGAGCATTTATGGCTTTAGCATCCCGCATGTGTATGTTATTTTACTATGTCTAGCATTATACCATGAGGCTAAATGTGTAATTGGAGTATCTGCATGAATGTTAGTGGATGAAGGTTGTGTTGCCTGTATTGGAATGTAATTGATTCTTATGCTTCTGAGTTTGTACAAAAAGGCTCTTGAAAAACGCATAAAATCAAAGCATAACCAGAATCAGTGACATAGTCTATATTTGAATGCCTCAAATAGTAATGCTAGTATTAATAATAAAAAAATTAAAAAAAAATGGAACATGAATATATGTCAATTATAAAAACCACATGATGACTTTGTAGAGGCCAATCTTTTGACCGGGTGAGCGAGGGTGCTCAATTAATGACTTTCGCCCTTCATACCTAAGTTCCCAAGTCGAGACGCTTTGGTTGTGATGGACAGTGGCCTTTGGCACAAGTCATGGGTTTTCTAATTCCCCCAAAAGATTAGGCAATGACTCTGAAATCTAGTGATATATTCCATTTCTGGCAAATGTTTTGCAATAAAATGGATTTTCTATAAAAGTTGCCAGATCTGGACTCTCATTTTTTTGTTTCACATTGCACTAGTTATATCAAATCAGGGATTGAGAGTCTGAACTGTTGGGCACACTTGGCAACCCCAAAGGCATCCCACATACAGTTACCGAGCTAACTTGTCCAATAATATTCTATTTTGTGTAATCATGACCATTGTCTTGAAAGATGTAAGCCATTAGGGTATCTTATTTTTATCTCTTTCTAGCCTTTTGAACTGCAAGTATAATTATTTGTATTTTGGTAAGATGTTAATGTAATGTGAACTTGTAATCTTTTGTGAAGTTCAAAGAAAAAGAGAAATAGTTTTTCATCATCACATTGAAGCATTCTATTTATATTTTTTATTAACTACTAATTTCTATTATGAACTTGAGATAAGAATAAAGGATTGATAACTATAAGTAATTAAAATATCGGGGTGTTACAAGATTGGTTACAACGATGTGACCACTGACCACACCAAACATATTGAGATTGATTGGTAGTTTGTAAAATGACATGTTTGCTAGACATTTTTTCAGTTTTCTCTTTTGATCAAACAATTGATATTTTTACCGAGGCTCATTCACCCGAATAAGTCCAATAGTTTGTTTGCAAACTCAAGATGCACACTACATTCCCTCCTTTAGTTTCAGCAGGGATCTTAGTGTATATACTCAGAATATACTACTTACCTTTTGATATGGTATATATTGTATTCATAGGAGACAAATCTTGAATTTCAATATTTGGTGTAGCTTGTGTGCCACTCTTTTAGGAATATATAATTACTTCCTATTATTGAGAAACACAAAATTCCCCCTTTCAAGGATTCTCTCCCTTTGTTCTTTTTCTCTATTTCTTGTATATTGTTTATCAAATACACCACCACCTGGGTATTTTGTTTCCATTTTTTTTATAAAAAAAAAATTCCTATTTGGAAAAGGTCAACACATGTGCTCAAGTCCTTTAACTATTTTATTGATAGGATATAAATTAAAAATAAAAAAGCATAGAACACACACACACACACACACACACACACACACACACACATATATTTGAGGGCATATGAGGACAATAGATATGAAGGTTTAAAGGATAATTCATGGTATGCATGAACAACCATTTCTAAGCACATTAACAATAAATAAATAAAATTAAAAATTAGAAAGATATTTATATAGAAACATTAGATGGAAGTCACAAATATTTTACCTTTAAACATTTTCTTCCTACCTCCAAACATATGCATATGCTGAAGTACTTTTGTCAATTGTTACTTTCATCTCCATGATGAAATTTCTTCTTGGATGACATAGGAGGATAATGAAAGACCTAAAGGCTGGATACAAAACCAAAATGTGAAAATAATATGTAAGACAAAGTTTTATCCTTTTTATAATTTGTTAAAGAAATAAACGACAAAATATATCAATAATTCCAAAACAAATGTGTTTTGTGTCACTTTAGTTCTGAAGTTTTAATTTTGTGCATTTCATTCATAAAGTTTTCAATTCAAGTTAAATTGATCTAAATCTAAGAGACCATATAAAGTGTTAATAAAATAGTTATAAAATACACTGATGGCCTCTAAAATATGTATTACATGTTAGTTTGATCCCTAAAATTTCAATTTTTTCAATTTCATTCCTCGACACTTGAAGACTACATTTTGTCTTCTTCGTCTAAGTGATAAAATTGTAAATTATGTAAACTAAAATACTTTGCATACTACAAGCATATTCTATTATCTTATGTCAAAGATTTAAATGATCCATTTCAAATTGGAACAATTTGGCACAAATTGGAACAATTTGGCACAAATTGAAAATTCTAAGGAAGGAATTGATAAAATTATAATCCAAGTGACCCTACAAGAAACACATACTTTAGAAACCATTGGCATATTTTATCCAAAGCACTAAAAAAAAAATTTAAGGAAGTTTGCATGCTAATTAATGAGGTTGCCTATCTATTAACATAATTTTAACTAGTTTGCCAATTAACAAACATCATTTAGTTCCATAATACATACCTGCACTTTTGAGGAATAGTCCAAGAGGTTGATTGTAATGCCTTTACATTAGTTGGTAACGACAAAAATTTCCTCCAATCCTCAAGCATAACTTTAAGGTCATGAACTTTATGATCTAAACCAATACAACAATTTGCATGCATTGTACAAACATGATTGAGATCTTTGCTAGGTTGGCAAAACCCACCAAAGTACGCCGTATCCAAAAACCTCATTTTTACACCAATGATACTGAATAATGGATCAAATTTTATTTTATCAAGCACATCTTGATCATGTAGACCTGGATAAGTCTCTCTTGAAGTGTACCAAAATTGGTAAAATTTGATCGTATGCTTATTTGATTTTACATAGTTAAAACCTCCATTTGGTTGATTATTTATATCTGAAGGGTTGCTTCGAAAAAAATCACATGAAATTTGAAAATCACCATCCAAATAAAAATGCAAAAATGGATCACGAAACCACAATACATCAGCATCCTGGAAAAACAAAAAATAATTTTTTTAATAAGATTATAATGTATATATAGAAAAACTAAATGTAATTAAAAAAAACATCAACATATACATTAATTGTCAATGGGCAATCGTATTTTTACAAAATAATATGAATTTCTCATCTAATGAAAGTAAAGGGAAAGAACAAGTATCAATATCTAATGAAAGTTAAAATAAGAATTGTTTCTTTCTACTATGAAACCAAAGCTTAACCTTGTATATAAAGTGTTTCCTATTAGACATGATATGTGAGGCCCTTAATGTTTTTAAACCCTATTAAGGCCTCCACTTTTGAATTATTATAATAAAAATTCTTAGTTTCTCGTTTACTCAGGAACTTAACTATAGAACCAAAGTGGCATCGCAGACGAACCCGTACAAACCCTAATTGATCTCAGTAGCTTTGTAATCATTTCTAAAACTCTAATATTAATTATTTAACTTTCTAATTACAGATTGATCAATCAAAACCCTACTTTTCGATTTTCATCGTTTTCGTTCGATTATTCGTATTTTAATCCAAAATGAAGAAACACCAACTGAATTATTCTCCTTATCTTCATTTTAATAAATTATATACTTCAAAAAGGTATTTTAAATTGCAAATTTATCCCATACCCTCAAGTTTCATTGATTTTGCACTTTAGCCCTGATTCAAGTACTTATAAATGTGTATATATATATATATATATTTGTACCTTTCCTTATCATATCTTTTTCCACAAAATATCTACTTTATACATATGAATTGTACCAAGAAAATATGATTCAAAACCTGACTCACATGGTTGGCCTCCCCAAGTTCACGCCTATCTTCATTTTAATAAATTCTATACTTCAAAAAGGTATTTTAAATTGCAAATTTATCCCATACCCTCAAGTTTCATTGATTTTGCACTTTAGCCCTGATTCAAGTACTTATAAATGTGTATATATATATATATATATTTGTACCTTTCCTTATCATATCTTTTTCCACAAAATATCTACTTTATACATATGAATTGTACCAAGAAAATATGATTCAAAACTTGACTCACATGGTTGGCCTCCCCAAGTTCATGAAAAAAGATGAAAGACTTTTGACTAAGGACCAAAAATCAAGGATATTTGTCTTGTATCAACCTTTCAATCCAGTTCTGAACCAAATAAGTAAGGGTTAAACCTAGGTTGTCTTGTATCAACCTTTCAATCCAGTTCTGAACCAAATAAGTAAGGGTTAAACCTAGGTAAATCACACTTAATCTTCCTAATCACCCCTCATTCAATTACATTCCAACTAAATACAAGTCTATTTGATTCAATTCCAACCAAAAGACATTTTGGAATTTTCACCACAATTTTCCTATATATAGATCACCCCCTCAACACTTTTTGCACATCAAACACACACACACACTCTAAATTTTGGCAAGGGTGAGAGAAAGAAGAGATAGTGTGAGCTTTGGAAGGAGGAAGAAAAAGAGAGCAATCTTGGACAACAATTTTTCAAGGCAAGCAAGCAAGTCACAACACAACCTATTCATTTTTCTCTCTAAATACATGAAATTATATGCGTAGAATATTGTTTTCATATGTTTATGGATAAGGTTCTTGTGTTTGAATAGGAGGAGTTGAGCTTTGTTGGTTATCTTGCTTGTATTATTCCTTTGTTGAACGAAGTCAGAAATTCTATCCACTTCATACATTATTCTTGAAGGAACACCTTCAAACTAAAACTCTGAATTATTAGTATATTATTTAGCGTGTTTTCAAGAGAAGTGTAAAATTACCCATGGTTTCCCCCTTCTCTTACAACTCTTTCTATTTCAAGCGTTAAAACATTAAATTTTAATTAAAAAATTTTTTTACTGAAAATGAATGAGTTGTTTGAAAGAAAAACTGATTTTCGTGATAGTCGACGAATCTAGGCAGAGTTGGAGTTTTTCATTTAAAACTAAATTGATTTTGAAACTAAACAAAATTCTCTACAAACCCTTAAGAGTCCGAGTTCGGGAAAAATCTAAAAGTGTCAGTTATATAGATATCTTTAAAGTAAATGAAATCTAACAATTTGTAAATTTTAGTAGTTTCATACTCTTATTTGTTTGGATATGCCTCTTATTGTTTGGTCAAACTTTTGTATGACATCTATGTATGTTTTGGTTGTATCTCTTTGTATTTTTGTCCTAGAATGCCTATACTTACTACACTTGTGTAGTAAATGTTATTTCAATTCTTGTTCTAACCATAACATAATACACCAAATTCAACGGGGAACTTACTAAGGGTGGTATTGGGTTTTCAATCACTAAGGTAAATGTTATGAGATAATGACATGTTGTTTTCTAGTATTAAATGGTGGGATGCGTTCCTTACTCAAGGGTTAAATATTGCAAAAGTGTGTTTTTGAACCCTAACGTGGCATGGGATGTATTATGGTTGCTTAACAGAATTAGGAGGTAGTGGCAGTGAGGGTCTTACATAGAAAGAGTATCCCTGGAACCCCGTTCCTTTGGCTCGATTTTGTTCTTGAATTTATGATTTTGTCTCAATTTGGTACAATTGATTACAACTCTTACATTTTTTCATGAAAAATATGCATATAAGTCATATGTCATATTTTTATGGACAAAATTATAAACTTACTCAACTCTCAGTGAGTTAATCTTAACCAATTTGGAGATATTTTTCTTTGGAAAACACTAACGATATTATCAATTAGACCAAATTGACACAAAATCTAAACTTAAAGGTCAAAATTGAGCCAATTGAAAGTGTAGGGACCATAATGACAGAAGAGGTAGAATATAAGAACCGTGGGTGTAATTTGTCTGAAATGATTAGAAACTCTTGATTTGTCAATTTTTACCCAAAATCTAATACACCCAGATGGATGCCTAGCCAAACAACATCGTTCATATTTTTATACCTATTTTAGACATTGAATCCCCCGAGGATCAATTCCTTTCATTTTTCATTGATCTCTGACAATAGACACCCTATTTTGCTTGGCTATAATACTTGGCATCCCTGTAGAAACGCTACCCAATTATGAATATAAGAAATTATTTGGAAATCCTGATTTGTTAACTTTTATCTAGAATCGGATGCATTCGGATGGACTTTTCCAGACCAAACATCCTAACCAACCTTTCTAGACCTACTTGAGACATATTCGATCCCCTTGGGTTCTCTCTTGACCTTGCACAAGTTTCGAAAAAAGGTATTGTCTTCTACACATTATTTTATGTAAAAAAAAAAAACTTTAGATTTTTTAAAAATGATTCATGTTAGTCTGTATCATTTTCAAAGAGCTTTTCAACAATATAAGATTCACTTAAATCTGATTTAAAATGAAAACTTTGTAGCCATTTTACAATCACTCGTCAACATTCAACAAGTGATGGCAAAATGGTCTTTTTAGAAAATCTATAGACTAGACTTGAACCAGGTTTTTTTTTATTTATTTCAAAGTGAATTTATTTAATTACTAAATAAAATAATTTTTAAAATTTTTTGAAGGCGCAAAACCCAAAACCCATTTGAAAAGCACTTTTCATCTCCCAAGGTTGTAGGAAAACACAAAAAAAAAAAGTTTTTCTAGGCCAAGAGAAGACTGGGCCGACTATCTCATAGGGCTAAACCGACTCTGTGGTGGCAGTTTTTGCTGCGGCGCTTCGTTTTCATTTTCAAAGAGCTTTTCAACAATATAAGATTCACTTAAATCTGATATAAAATGAAGACTTTGTAGCCATTTTACAATCACTCGTCAACATTCAACAAGTGATGGCAAAATGGTCTTTTTAGAAAATCTATAGACTAGACTTGAACCAGGCTTTTTTTTATTTATTTCAAAGTGAATTTATTTAATTACTGAATAAAATAATTTTTAAAATTTTTTGAAGGCGCAAAACCCAAAACCCATTTGAAAAGCACTTTTCATCTCCCAAGGTTGTAGGAAAACACAAAAAAAAAAAGTTTTTCTAGGCCAAGAGAAGACTGGGCCGACTATCTCATAGGGCTAAACCGACTCTGTGGTGGCAGTTTTTGCTGCGGCGCTTCGTTTTCCTATTTTGACCTCAATTGCATTGTTGATCTTATCCTAGTCCATTCTTGTGCAATCTCACATCATTTTTAGAAGAAAAATCACTCTTCTAGGAGCCTATATAAGCCCTTCTTTAACTCCTATACATTCCATCCAATATTTGAGTTTAGAATTCAAGTCTTAGGTCAAGGAAACTCTCCCTTGAGAGAATTCAAGGCTATTTTACATTCTTGTGTGAGACTTAGCCATTTTAGTTCAATATTTTTGTGTTGAGTTCATCTTGCATGCATTCAACCAAAGGCATGTCAGGAGGTCTTCTTTGAGTAAGGAGTTCATAAAGGCAGCAAGGCATTTCCCATGACAGTTTTGTTTTGAAGTTAGTAAGTTTTATTATTGTGACAACCCCGTCACGTATTATGCTTTTAATCCTTTAATTTTGAATGAGCTTATGCGTCTAGTTTGAATTTGAATTCTAATTACATGATTAATATGACTTTTGAGTCCATATCTATCAACTGTAGGACTATCTGTTGTGATTTCTGTTATAATCTGAAATCGAAAGCCTTAATGGCGTCAGAAATCGAAATTGATTAGCTAAGTGTGAATGGCATGATTTTTAAAGCCTATTCGGCAGTTTGATTAAAATTTGATTCAAATTAAATTAATTAGATTAAATCAACTAAATTAAGCTTCGATTAATTACTCTTAAACTCTAATTAACTAGCTTGATCCCTAATTAGTGTATTAAGTTAATTAAGCCCATATATATGAAGGAATGTTGATTGAGCTCATTATTCACTCAAAAATTCTGCTGAGATTAAAGTTTAAAGAGAGACTGAGGCCAATTTAGAGAAAAAGAGAAGAGGAACTTGAAGAATTTAGCTAGGGGGCTTGTGAATTGTGAAGTAGAACTCAAGATTCTTGCAAATTTAAGTTTAATTGAAGACCTTAGGTA